TCCCAAAATAAAAACATATCCACTCATGGACTTTGAGTTTTGTGTATCAGATATCCAGTTAACATCACAATAGCCTTCAAGTATTGCTGGATATCTTGTGAAGTGAAATCCATAGTTCTGCGTAAATTTCAAATAACCAAGAACCCTTGCAATTGCCTTCCAATGATCCTTTATAGGATTACTCGTATATCTACTCAATCTATTAACTGAATATGCAATGTCCGGATGTGTACAATTTGTAATGTACATTAGACTACCAATTATTCGTGCATATTCACTTTGAGATATACATTGACCAATATTCTTTGATAAATGCAAATTGACATCATATGGTGTTTTTGCAGGACTACTTACATAATTACTAAATTTTGTAAGTATTTTCTCAATATAATGTGATTCAGATAAAATTAGTCCTTCAGACATTCTAGAAATCTTGATTCCTAGTATAACATCTGCAACTCCCATATCTTTCATATCAAACTTACTAGCCAACATTCTTTTGGTAGATTTAATAATCTCAGGATTACTACCAATAATTAGCATATCATCGACATATAGACACACAATGACATATCCCTCTTGTGTGCTTTTAGTGTAAAAACATTTGTCACACTCATTTATTTTAAATCCATTTGACAACATTGTAGTGTCAAACTTATGGTGCCATTGCTTAGGTGCTTGTTTTAAACCATAAAGTGATTTAACAAGTCTACATACCTTTCTTTCTTGGCCATGCACTATGAAACCTTCAGGTTGTTCCATATAAATTTCCTCGTCCAAATCACCTCTTAGACAAGTAGTCTTGACATCCATTTGATGAATCTCAAGATTATGAATTGCTGCAATAGCAATCAACATACGGATGGATGTTATCCTCGTGACTGGCGAATATGTATCAAAATAGTCTAAGCCTTCTCTTGGCTTATAACCTTTGGCGACATGTCTTGCCTTGTACTTGTCAATAAATCCATCTGCTTTCATCTTCCTTTTGAAAATCCATTTATAACCTAAAGGTTTATTTCCAGGAGGAAGATCCACCAATTCCCATGTATGATTTTGCATGATGGATTCAATTTCAGCATTAATAGCCTATTTCCAAAGTGAAGCTTCTGGAGAGGATATAGCTTCCTTATATGTTTGAGGCTCATTTTCTAATAAGTAAGAAAATCAGGTCCAAAAGACGTTGATATCTTAGCCCTCTTACTACGTCTTGGTTCAATTTCTTGTACATGTTCTCGGTCAACAGAATTATCATTACTTTCTTTATGATCATAAGTTCTTTTCAAAGAACTTTGTTCTTGTGCAATTTTCCATGGAAATGCATTTTCAAAGAATGTAGTATTCCTTGATTCAATTATTGTATTAACATGTATTTCGGGATTATCCGATTTATGTACAAGAAACCGATATGCACTATTATTTATGGCATAACCAATGAAAACACAATCAATGGTTTTAGGTCCTATTTTAATCTTCTTAGGATCAGGGACCATTGCCTTAGCTAGACACCCCCAAACTTTGAGAAATTTATAAGAAGGCTTTGTGCTTTTCCATAATTCATAAGGTGTCTTATCTAACTTCTTGTGAAGTAATTTATTGAGAATGTGGTTTGCAGAAAGCAATGCTTCTCCCCACAAATTCTGGTTTGCCCCAGAACTTATCAACATAGCATTCATCATTTCTTTCAATGTACGATTTTGCGTTTAGTAACTCCGTTTTGTTGAGGTGAATAAGGAGCAGTAGTTTGGTGAATAATCCCATGCTGAGTACAAAATTCAGAAAGGGTGCAACATATTCACCTCTCCTATCGCTTCTTATAACCTTTATCTTTTTGCTAAGTTGATTCTCAACTTTATTCTTATAATTTGTGAATGCTTCTAAGGCTTCATCTTTGCTTCTTAGCAAATACACATAGCAGTACCTTGTGCAATCATCTATGAAAATAATAAAATATTTCTTGCCTCCTCTAGTTTGCACAAACTTTAGATCACAAATATCACTATGAATTAATTCTAGAGGATCCGTACTTCTTTCAACAAAGTGAAAAAGTGTTTTAGTTGACTTTGCTTCCACACAAGTTTCACATTTATGACTTATATCAATATGAAACTTGGGTAACAAGTTCATGTTAATTAGCCTATGGATAGTATCATAATTCACATGTCCTAACCTCCCATGCCATATATTTGGTGATTCCACAATATAAGCAAAAGAATTAACTTTATTGATAATTTTGGGTACAACAATCATTACATTCATTTTGAAAAGACCATCACTAAGATATCCCTTCCCAACATACATTCCACTCTTTGTTAGTACAAACTTATCAGACTAAAAAACCAAACAGAAACCATTTTTGCTCAATAATGGTCCGGAGACTAAGTTCTTTCTGATATTAGGCACATGAAGCACATCGTTAAGAGTGAGTTCCTTTCTAGAAGTCATCTTTAGAATTACCTTTCCTAGGCCCTGAACCTTGGATGTAGAAGAATTCCCCATAAACAGTTGCTCTCCATGAGTAACTTCTTGATAGATGGTAAACATTTTTCTATCAGAGCATATGTGGCGAGTAGCCCCAGTGTCAACCCACCATTCCTTAGTGTTTCCCACCATGTTGACTTCAGATACCACAGCCGCAAGATTTATGTCAGAGATCTCTTTGGACAGCCTCTCTTCCTCGGTTATGTGTACTTCATTACTCTTCTTTTTGGAATTGTCTTGACCTTTGCGGTTTCGACATTCTCTAGCACGATGTCCTGTCTTGTTGCAAACAAAACACTTGCCTTTGAACTTCTTAAAATTCCCTTGGCTTGAACTTTCACCAGAGTGCTTCCTCTTTTTGTTATTCTTTGGCCCACCCTTCACAATGTGTGCCTTGGCTTGCATAAGTTGACTGTTAGACTTCTTTTTAGAGCAACGATTATCCTCCTCAATCCTTAATCTTACGATTAAATCCTCAAGTCCCATCTCTTTGCGCTTATGCTTGAGATAATTTTTGAAATCTTTCCAAGCAGGAGGTAATTTTTCAATTACTGCAGCCACTTGAAAAGTCTCACTTAGCGACATCCCTTCAGCATGTATTTCATGAAGAATAAGTTGTAGCTCTTGGACTTGATTGATAACCTTCTTGGAGTCTGTCATCTTGTAGTCAAGAAATCGACTGACCACAAATTTCTTCATGCCAACATCTTCAGTCTTATATTTCTTGTTGAGAGAGTTCCATAAGGCTTTTGCACTTTTAATTGGACTATACACATTGTATAGTGCATTATCTAATGCATTGAGAATGTAATTCTTGCAAAGAAAATCAGAATGGTTCCATGCATCTACTGCAGCAACTTCTTCTACGGTAGTTCCAGACACAGGCGCATCTTCTGTCAGAAACTTTGCCAAGTTCAAAGTGGTGAGGTAAAATAACATTTTCTGTTGCCACCTCTTGAAGTTTGTCCCACTGAACTTCTCAGGCTTCTCACCATGATTGGTGGAAGATGGGATCACCACGGGCACAACACTCGCAACTGATGTGCTGCCCAATTTACTAGAAGAATTACTAGTATCATCCATTTTCCCTTAAGAGAGGAAGATCACACAAATAAATATATTGTAATTAAAGTAAAACAACAAAGTATTTAGGAAACAACTAGACGTTAATTTCTTAATACCGTAACCCACAAGATTATTTAATTAAACTTGGCTAATAAAATATAATCAATTTATGAGCATACACTGAAATTACTATCATAATCATGAATCATAAATCATGCTTCATATATAAAATGCAAATACCAATCAGTACTACAATGCAAATGCACAACACAATATATATGTCTTTGAATAGTCAATTAAAATATATATGCAGCACTATTGTAATCAACATGTAGCAAATAAACCTAGATCTTGTCTTAAGTTGTTGTTAAAAAAAAAAAAAAAAAAAAACTATGGAAAATTGTTATATATTTTATTATAAACTATTAAATAACACACAATAGAATCTCTATAAATGCAAGAAAAACAAGGAATAGAAGAACCTTAAGAGATCGAGGCTAGAATTTGATTCTATAGCCTTAAGACAAGATTGCCCCTCAGTGGTGCCTCAAGGTTTGCATTGGCAAATGTCTCCCAGGATACAACGATCTTTCTCTTCGCAGAAGTAGCACTCCAATCCACAAAGAACAGCGAACCAAAAGTGTTTAAAACTCTCTCTTTATTGAACACTAAACTACTCTAATTTCTATATGATTTCTAGATGCAAAATTATATCTAAAATGCTTGACTTGGTTGTCTATTTATAGGCATTGACATGCCCCATTTTCGAAGGATGCGTCTACTCCCAAAGGACAATGGCTCCGTCTGCACAAAAGATGCGTCTGTTTCCAAGGCAGAAGGGATGCAACCTTTGGAAATCTGCCACCGAAACAATTTGTCTGCTTTTCCAAAGAAAAAGATGCAACCTTTGAGCAAAGGTGCATTTGTTTCCAAAAGTTCCAAAAGTTGCATCTACTTTTCCTAAACATACATAACCTGTTGAGAAAATCTGCAGGTCAAAACTTTTCAAGACCATTTTCATAATAAAATAAAATTAAAAGGACATACACAATCCTTGAAAATCTACCGGTCAAACCTTTCCATGACCATTTTGTATTTTATTTTAATTTTCATTCACTTGAATATTTAATATTTTAAATATTAATAATACTAAAATTTAAATTATTAAATTCCTAACAGAACCAACCCGTTATCTTAATAGGTGTTTATCAGGTTACCCGATTCGTTATCATGTCAACCTAAACACCTATTAATTTTGTATCGTATCGGATTATTGAATCATGTCAAAAATTAATGGGCCTAATAAACCTGCCGGCCTGGTGCCGTTGGTAGACCGTTCTCTTGAGTAGTCCAAAACAGTTTTCAACTAAACCCGCGGAACGGAGCGCTGAGTATGATTGTTAATTGGCATTATACTACTATAAATAGTTAGTCTTCGCTCTTCTTATTACCACATATTCTACTATCTCACTGCATACAGACTCCAGAGAGAGAGAGAGGGAGGAAAGGAAGAGAGAGATGGGAACTGTGGCTCCAAACTTGATGGAAGTATCCGCCGGACGTGATAACGAAAACGGTGCTGCCAGAAGCCCTCCGGCAAAAGTGCTTGATGCTGGAGCTCTCTTCGTCCTCAAATCTCAAGGTAATAAGCACTCAGTACGTATATGTTCGGTTTAGGTCAGAAGTTTCCATGCCCTTCTTTAAAATAATTAGATTGCTTGCAAGTTTTTGATATTTTTGTGGGGTTCTTCTTTTCTTTTTTTTTTTTCTTTTTTTTTTTTCTGAAAATATGACTTTAACCCCTCAAATTTAATTTTTTCCATAAAAAACCCGATATAATTTTTTTACTAAAAAAGCTAGTGACTAAGATCCACTTAAGTGAATTCATTAATTATATATTACTTTACACATTTTACATTTTTTAATATGCCTAAAATACCCCTATTGCATATTTGATGTGCACAATTAATTCTATGCACATTATAAGGAGAGTTAATGAGTTTGCAAAAGAAAAATAAAATAAATAAGACATTAATGATAAAAAAATTCATTGCATATTAATATCAATATGAGAATTGTTGGCTTAATTCTATGTATCTTGCATTATGAGTTCATATATATTTTTTCACAAAAAAAAAAAAAAAAAAAAAAAAAACCTACTATATGTAATAATACATTTAAAAAAAAGTAATTTACCTACCATGCACAAAAATATTATTTGATTCAAAATGTGTATAAATATATATATATATATATATATATATATATATGTGTGTGTGTGTGTGTGTGTGTGTGTGTGTGTATTTATATAATTAGACCATATTAATTTACCTACCTACTATTTGAAATGTTCATTTCCAATGATTCAAAATATTGTATACCAACAACAAAATATTGCATAAATTTAGGAATTGGATCATGCTTTTGATTTTATCTTTTTACCTACAAACAATCATATACATATTACTTTATATATTTTTACCAAAAAAACATCCCTAATAGGCTAATATATGTATAATACATGAAAAATAATTTACCTACCATGTATACAAAAATGTTATTTGATTCAAAATATATAATCTAGGTTTTCTGGAACAAATTAATTTACCTACCTACAAATTAATTTCCAACAATTTACCTACAAAAAATTATACCCCATGTGTAATATATTATCTTTTTCTCACTAATACATGGAGAATAATTTACCCATAACAAGAAGAAATATAATTTTATGTATTATATTGAAAAATATTATGCCATACCTATACTTATACAACAATAAAACGTGCCTAATATATGTAACATTGCATGAAAAATAATTTACCTACAAGTTAGAGAAGTGTTATTTGATTCAAAATATATAATATGGATTTAGTATAATTTTTTTTAATAATTGGAACAAATTAATTTACTTCCCAATTAATGCAAAAAAAAAAAAAAATATATATATATATATATGTATATATGTATATCACAAAAAGGTGCATTTTTGGTATGATATGGATACAATTAATACAATACAACAGTTTATATATTTTATTTCACTTTTTTTTACAACTTTTAATTTGGCATAAATTTAGGGATTTGGAAAAGTTGCATAGGTGTAAATAAATTGTATTAGTAAGTCAATAGTGTTCCAATGTGGCTGTATATTTTAAATTTGGGCTTTTATTGGACGTTTATATGTAGATGAATTTTTATCTAGGAATCATGAATTATAAGTAAGACTAGAAAAAATTCCCGAAAATCCCAAACTATACCGAAAAAACCCCAAATTGAACCCAAAAATCTCAAACCGAAACTATCCCGAATTTTAGTAATCCCGTATCAAAAAATACCAAAATATTCGACATGAGATTGGTTTTCAGATTTCATTTTTTCGGTATTCCTGAAGTCCCGAAATCTTCTTTTGCTTTTGGTTCCTACTTTCCAGCGCTACATCTGCAAAGAACAATGAAAAAATAAAATAAAAAGCAAGGCCCTTCGGTTCCACTAGCAAAGGCACAGAAATAAAATAATATGGAAAAGGCATGTGATGGTGATGCCTTGTCGGTTTGGGAGAAAAGCACAAAGCTTTTTTGGAAACTAAAAGCACAAAGCTTTTGTTTTGGTTTTGAATCTTGATTCTTGAGGCAGAGAGAGAGAAGCAGTCTTCGTGTTGGGGAGCAGAGATAGGAAGAAGCTCTCTCGTCTCTAGCCTCAACCCATTTGTCTCTCTATCCTCTCTGAAGCTCTCTCGTCTCTGGGTTATGAATCATCAGCGTTGCGCAGGCACGATTCATAACCCACAACAAATAATTCCATTTGATGATCACTGAAGCTCGAGAGAAAAAGATTGAATTTTTGCATGTGGGTTCTAAAGGATTTGTGAAGAAATGGCATAAGAAGATGTGATTGTGGAGAGGAGTGGGTGTGGCCGTGTGGGGTTGGGAGCGAGGTGGACTCGGAGCTGCTGCCATGCTCAAAGAAAAATATTGGATTTTTGCATGTGGGTTCTGAAGGATTTGTGCAGAAATGGCATGAGAAGATGTGATTGTGGAGAGGAGTGGGTGTGGGGTTGGGAGCTAGGTGGATTCGGAGTCGCCGCCGTGGTCGTTGCTTTCTAAGAATGGTGGAGGTAGCAGAGGAGAATGGTATTAAGATCTCTCAGGACGAGGCTTGTGAAAAAGCCACTGGAGATTGCTAGTGTTGGCTGCGTCCCGAACCGTACCGAAAAACTGAAAAACATTCGGGAATACCGAAATTCAGGAAAGGCAAAATTTCGGATCGGTTTTGGTTACTGAAATCCCATCCCGAACTTTTTCAGTTCGGTATTTGGTATATGGTTTTCGGTTCGGTATGGGATACCGAACCACCCCTAATTGTAAGGGCCAAAAATATAAAACACTTCGACTTATTGGCTTCAATTTGGAGATTTGCTTATATGATACCAAAATTAGAAAGTTTTGATAAGTTTCGATCAAATATTCAATCAACCTTAACTAACTCTTAACTATAACTCAGTTGTTTAATGAGAAAAACTTGAGTAGGGATATTTGGTCAAGCCATCTATACTACACTACTTACAAATAAGATTCAACGTTAATCCTACTTTAAGAAAGAGGAAGAAAAAAAAAGACCAGCTAGTGGCGAAAGTTCATCTTTTTTATGATTGAGAAGACGCATTTCAACCTCCTTTAACTACCATCATATGATTTACTAGTGCTAGGAAACGAACCGGACGCTAGTCCTCCTTAGTGCGTCAAAGAGGCTATCAAAATATATCTCAATGTTTAAGATTTACAAGATATATTTTCTTCTATTTATCTAAATGTTCTTTGTGTTTGTGGTAGGATTGCTTCTATTTATCTAAATGTTTTTTGTGTTTGTGGTAGGATCATGGTTGCATTGTGGGTACCACTTGACGACGTCGATAGTAGCTCCAGTGATTCTAACTCTTCCCTTTGCGCTGGCCTTGCTAGGCTGGGTTGGGGGACTCATATGCCTCGCCTTGGCTGCTTTGGTCACTTTCTATTCCTACAATCTTCTATCCTTGGTTCTGGAGCACCAAGAAAAGCTCGGACATCGCCAGCTTCGCTTTCGAGACATGGCCCGAGACATTTTAGGTCCGTAGTTAATCTCATTACCCATGTATTACAAATAAAGTGGTCATAATTCGCTAAATTTATCGTAAATATCAACGTATCATTGATTTGACGGACACTCGATTGAATCAACGTATCATAATTAATTATTAGAAAATTAATGCTTACTGTTCATAAGAAATTGCATATCTAGGTCATCCGTTATGGGTCTCATATGATTACACGTTACTACTCAATCTTTAAACTAAAATGTATCATGCATGCATGAGTTTGCAGGTCCTGGATGGGGCAAATATTTTGTTGGTCCCTTGCAGTTTTGGATTTGCTATGGTGCAGTTATTGCTTGCACTTTACTTGGAGGGCAGAGCCTTAAGGTAAGCGCTAACCACACACTCGTTTAGATCAGCTCCACAAGATTTTCCATAATCTGAACTGATCATTTTTCAATTACTATCTTAATACGAGGCTAACCACACTATATATTTGCTACTAAATAGGCATCGATTACTTTCCTCATACAGTCTTCTTGTGTTAATTTTTCAGTTCATTTACTTGCTCTCCTACCCAGATGGGACAATGAAGCTACACCAATTTATAATTATTTTCGGAACCGTTCCACTGGTTTTAGCTCAAATGCCATCCTTCCACTCCTTAAGGCATATTAATCTTGTCTCTCTTATCCTTTGCCTGGCATTCAGCACTTGTGCCACTGCTGGCTCCATATACATTGGTAAGACAGACAATTTAAACTACTCTAACAAGAAGAGAGAGAGAGAGAGAGAGAGAGATTTGAATTTCAAAGCAAGGCGGGAGAATACGTTGCCGTATCGAACCTGGCCTAACCCACATATATCAAATTTTTTCTAGGACATTCCGATAATGCTCCTAGAAGGGAGTATACCGTGAAAGGAAGCGCAAAAGACCGCAGTTTTGGTATCTTTAATGCCATTTCAATCATAGCTACTACATATGCAAGTGGAATAATTCCTGAAATACAGGTATCTTACCCACTTTCCAGCTTTTTCTTATCAAATAATCTAGTTTCTTGATCGAAGAAAGCTTATAAATGGTCTCCTATATTTAGTAAGTAATGTTCTTTCAGTATCTCGAATTTTTAATACCCACTGACACGATATGGTCTATATGTGCAGGCAACTTTAGCACCTCCAGTAAAAGGAAAGATGTTTAAAGGTCTATGTGTTTGCTATAGTGTTATAGTGACAACATATTTCAGTGTGGCAATATCTGGGTACTGGGCTTTTGGAAATCAAGCCATGGGAACAGTTCTTTCAAATTTCATGGGTGATGGCAAGCCTTTATTGCCTACCTGGTTCTTGCTAATGACCAATGTCTTCACCCTCTTGCAAGTCTCAGCTGTCACAGTGGTAAGACGGATAAAATTACAAAAAATGATATCATTGGCGACAGTTACAAACCTTCGTTTGAAGCAGAAAAACGTTGCAAAAGGGCTTTTTAAGGCACTAACATATATGCATCTTGAGACTAAAGACTTAGGGCTTCTTAATGCACCCAAGCATTTGATCCACGCACTTGAAACAAATTCAAAAATAAAATGATTTATGCACGCTCATTTTCTCTTTCAACACACTTTTGTTTAATTTTGTTTGTTGACGCTACTAAACTACAGGTTTACTTGCAACCAACAAATGAAGTGTTTGAGAAGAAATTTGCAGACCCAAAAAAGGATCAATTCTCAGTCCGTAACGTTGTGCCGAGATTGATTCTCCGGTCACTGTCCGTTATAGTAGCAACAACATTTGCTGCAATGCTACCTTTCTTTGGAGATATCATGGCATTGTTTGGGGCATTTGGATGCATTCCTCTAGATTTCATTTTGCCAATGATTTTCTACAATGTAACTTTCAAGCCTTCCAAACAAAGTCTTATATTTTGGGTTAACACATCGATAGCAGGAGTGTCCTTCTTGTTAGTCGGGGTAGGGGCTGTAGCATCTGTTAGGCAAATTGTTCTTGATGCCAAAACGTATCGGTTATTTGCTAACATGTAACGTTATTATGGAGAAAACAATATGTATTGAATATCTTTAAGTGTAAATTCGGAGAAATGGTAGGGTCCTATTACTATTGTGGGATCTTAATTACCAGTATTAGTGAGTGTTTCAGCAAATCTGTCGGTTTTATGTCTTCAAAGCATTACACAAAATAAAAGAGTAAAATATAGATAGATTTGGTCTCTAAACTCCCACCTTAGTTTAAATTTCATTCCTAAACTAAAAATCCGTTAATTTAGGCCATCTCCAACCGAAGAAGCACCAGAAGGCTCGTTTTAGCCCTTTGGCCCTCCAAGAAATTAATATTTTAATAAATAGTGCAAGGCCATCTCCAATCAAAGGGTCTAGAGGGCCAAAGGGCTAAAAATTACCCAAAAACCGTCTCCAACCGAGGGCTACGCCAGAGGGCTAGTGGGCCCCACAAATCTGAAAAAGCCAATGGGCCAACTGACTGGCCCAATCCAGCCAGCCCTAGGCTGGGCCAAAATTTTGATTAATCCTGTCGGATATAACCTACAAGAAAGGTTGCCAAAATTTAAAATTCAACGGCTAGTTACCATTCGATTCAAATGTTTTTTTTTTGGCCAAATTTTTGTTTATGAAATTTAAAAATTCCTTTTTTTTTCCTAAGCGATTCCTACATCATTTAAAATTTTAAATTATGCCTTGATTTATGAAATTTAAAAATGATGCCCTTGGATTTGAATTTAAGTTGTAATTTTTAAATAATAAATTATGTTTGATCCTATGACTTTTTGTCCCTCGGTTGGAGACGGTTTTTTGTGACAAGGCTAAAATGAGTCATATGACCCTTTGGCCATCGGTTGGAGATGAAGACAAATATGGCCATGTACTATTCATTAAAATATTAGGTCATCTCCAACTGAAGGGTCCATAGGGCCAAAGGGCCGAAAATAGCCCGAAAACCGTCTCCAACCAAGGGCTAGGCTAGAGGGCTCATGGGCCCCACAAAATTTAAAAGGGCCAAAGGGCCAACTGGCTGGCCTAATCCAGCCAGCCCTAGGCTAGGCCAGAAATTCTAGCATTTCTATCGAATATAACCGACAAGAATACATATATATATATTTAAATATATTCCTGTCGGTTATATCCGACATGAATTCTAGGCCAAATTTCAAATGCAAAGGCTAGCTAACGTCAGCTAGCCATTATTTTTTATTTTTTTATTTATTTTACAGTTTTATTATTTTTTTTTTTTACACAATTTTTTTTTCCTATAACTTCTATTTTACAAAATTTGTTTTATATTTTTTCTAAATTATATTTTTTTTTTCCTATAACTTCTATTTTACAAAATTTGTTTCATATATTTTTTAAATTCTATTTTTTTCCTATAACTTCATAAGCCATTATACAACATTAAATTAAATTAAGTAACATGAAACAACATTAAACAATATGAAACAACATTAAATAACATTAACCAACATAAAAATTATACAACATAAAACTTAAACGCCTACTCCATGCTATTTTTAGCCCAAAGATGTGCAACAAGATCATGTTCTAGGTTGTGACACGAGAACGTATCATTCTATAGCGCCTGACGTCACTTAGTCATTGGATTTGAATTTAAGTTGTAGTTTTTAAATAATAAATTATGTTTGGCCCTATGACCCTTTGGCCATCGGTTGGAGACGGTTTTTTGTGACATGACTAAAACGAGCCTTATGACATTTTGGCCCTCAATTAGAGATGGAGGCAAATATGGTCCTATACTGTTCATTAAAATATTAATTTCTTGGAGGGCCAGAGGGCTAAAACGAGCCCTTTGGCCCAACCGAATGGTCCAAAAGATAGAAAAAGACCTGAAAACTATCTCCAACCGAGGGCTAAGCCAGAGGGCTTGTGAGCCACACGGAATCTGAAAGGGCCAAGGGGCCAAAAGGTTGGCCCAATCCAGTCAGCCCCGGGCTGGCCAAAAATGTGAACATTGCTGTCGGTTATATCCAACAGGAATGCTAGGCCAAATTTTTAAATGCAACGGCTAGCTGACATCAGCTAGTCATTTTTTTATTTTTTATTTTTTTACAGTTTTATTTTTTATTTACAAAATTTTTTTCTAATAACTTCTTTTTTTTCTATAACTTCTATTTTACAAAATTTGTTTCATATTTTTTTTAAATTCTATATTTTTTTCCTGTAACTTCTATTTTACAAAATTTGTTTCATATTTTTTTAAAATTTCATTTTTATCCTATAGCTTCTATTTTACAAAATTTGTTTCATATTTTTTTTTTCCTATAACTTCTATTTTACAAAATTTGTTTCATTTATTTTTTTTAATTCTATTTTTTTTCCTATAGCTTCCTAAGCTATTATACAAAATCAAATTAAATTAAGTAACATGAAACAACATTAAATAACATTAACCAACATAAAAAAAAATATTTAACAACATTTTTAAAAACATTTAACAACATAAAACTTAAACGTTTACTGTCACATCTCGGCCCGGGACCCCACCATATCCCGGGTTCAACTCCACCGTAACACAATATTGTCCGCTTTGGGCCCCTACCACACCCTCATGGTTTTGTTTCTGGGAACTCACACGAGAACTTCCTAGTGGGTCACCCATCCTGGGATTGCTCTCACGCGAACTCGCTTAACTTCGAAGTTCCTATGGCACCCGAAACTAGTGAGCTCCCAAAAAGTCTCGTGCTAGGTAGAGTTGGGAATATACATATAAGGCTTACAGGATCCACTCCCCTAGGCGATGTGGCATGTTACACCTACTCCATGCTTCTTTTAGCCCAAAGATGTGCAACAAGATCCTATTGTAGATACTTGTTTGCGGCATGGGAACGTATCATTCTATAGCACCTCATGTACTCATTTATAGAGGTACTACTAGTTCTTGGATTCAAAGGCAAATTAAGCACATCATATATTTTTTCACAAGCCCTTCTTAACCTATTTGGATCCTCTTGGTTGTCATCAAACTCTCCATCAATATACCCATCTTGCTCATCCTCCATAATCATGCGAATATAACGCATGCCCTCGGTTGGAGATGGCCTTAGGGTTTAGGGTTTAGGATGCGTTATATTGGCATGATTGTGAAGGATAAGCGAGATGAATATATTGATGGAGAGTTTGATGATGACCAAGAGGATCTAAATAGGTCAAGAAGGGCTCGTGCAAAAATATATGATGGGCCTAATTTGCCTTTGAATCCAAGAATTGGTAATATATCTTTAAATGACTACATGAGGCACTATAGGATGATACGTTCCCATGCCACAAACAAGTACCGACAACAGGATCTTGTTGCACATCTTTGGGCCAAAAGAAGCATAGAGTAGGCGTTCAAGTTTTATGTTGTTAAATGTTTTTAAAAATGTTGTTTAAGTTTCATGTTGTTAAATGTTTTTGTTTATGTTGTTTAATGTTATTTAATGTGTTTATTGGCTTAGGAAGTTATAGGAAAAAAAAAATCAAATATAACGACTAACTAACGTCAGCTAACCGTTGCATTTAAATTTTTGGCCCGACCCAGGGTTAGCTGAGTTGGGCCAGCCGGTTGGCCCTTTGGCCCTTTTTTGTCCCATGGGGTCCATGAGCCCTTTGGCCTAACCCTCAGTGAGTTTTCAAGCTATTTTCGACCTTTCGGCCCTCTGAACCCTTCGGTTCTTTGAATTTAACAAAACATATACTATTGGTCCTTATCCTTAAGTTCAATTAAAAAGTATGTTAATCCAATGATGTGAACACATGTGGGTCCCACATCATCGAATTAACATGAAGCTCTTGGCACAAAGAGCGTCTATCTTCGCTTTCGACTTAGTCCTCTTCGCCTTCTCTCCACTCTTTCCTTTTTTTTTTGTTCAAATAATGTTCTCTTTTCTTCTCTTTTATTCTCTATTGTTTCTTCTTCTCATTTGATTATGTCTTTCTCTATCCTATCTCACTTTCCTTCTAAGAGAAATTTTGATAGTGAAAAAAATAATTACAACTGATGATAATAACAAGCCAGGAGGATCCTCACCAGATCCTCTTTGTAAGAATCATAGGGATTCTTCAATCACATCCGTTCATTATAATCGTGTGGTAAAAAATTATTGTATATATTTTTTTATTTAAAATTGAACATAAACAATACCTGACAAAAACTAACCGCACGATGTACAATGAATGTATGTGATTGGAGGATTTCCGGGATCCTCACAAAGAGGATCCGGTGAGGATCCTTTAAGGGAATAAAATAATACATACACCACAACTTGTTGTTTCTGCAACACGCAAAAAATACACCACATCACATAATTAATATATAGTATTTAAATTAAATAATGGATTTTTGTTCTCATTTTTCTCTTCCTACCTCCCTTGATTTATAGTAGAAAGAAAAATGGGGAAAGCAAATTCAGAAATTCTCCTCCATAGGGTGAGGGTTTCTGCCATATTATTCGTGCAACGGTTTCTTGAATTGATCTCTAGTAATTCTGAGCCATCTCTCTTGTTTTGAGTGTTATTCTGTTTCTACAATAGTGTAATGAGATGAGCTCGAGTTCTTCTTCAAATGATCTTGAGCAATTCAAATTATAATGATAAAGAGTTTGAATGCAATCCGATTAGTTAAGTCATTTCACACCTAAAAAATGAAAAAGTTATAAAAAAAAATTGGGAAGGTGGCAAATTTCCCGAAATCGAAAGTGTGTGAAATCATTAACCTATATATTATTATAAGTACATATGACCTAATTTATCAAATTGAACAAAACAGTCGTTCGGCTATGCCTATCATTGGTCTCCTTTGGGTTCCCTTAGCACAAACACTAAGACGATACCATCATTAGTTTAGCATATAATACACATTGGCCAGTCACAAATCAATTAAAAAGTCATAAGGACAACTTTCCCTAAGAGCTATCCCACCGTTGCAATTTGCTCGGGGGACCGGCTCCAGAACAAAGGCCCGAGGGCCGGTGGAAGGCGTCCAGCGTGACGCAGGCCGGGGGACGGGGGAGGCCCGAGGGCCAGGCCCGTGAGGAATCGACAGGCCTTGAGCCCGGGGTGGGAGTGACGTCATGCTGACGCCAGGGTGGCGTCAGCGTATTATTTTATTTTTT